GCATTCCCGGACAGCCACCGTCACGCAAGGCTAGAGTAACCTAACACTTGAGGACGATGCCGTCGCAGCCTCTCGAGGTGCGCACACTTGTGGCTTGGGCGCGAGTTTGTTTATGTCGAAGGAGACTCGCGAGACACCTGCCGCACTCTCTATTTCCACAGCCACTGTATACTGGTAGCAGGGCGACTGGAAGTGTGCGTGGGCACAATGGCACAATTAGAAAACCCACGCACAACACACTTCGCGTCACGATTCTCCATGTAGCAGCCTCAATTGGGGAGATGCTAGCCATCAATTGAGAGTCTTGAGGTCTACATTAAGGAGGAGTCAGTACCGTTCGGCTTCTGTTCCAAATGTAAACCGAGCGAGTAGACCACCCGATAATTCTACCTTCGTTGTCGAAGATGTCCACCGTGTGTCCCACGGCAAAGTGAAGCAGGAACGGTGAATTGCACGTGAATTAGTTTATAATGATAATAGACTTGCGCAACGCCTACCGCACTCTCTCCTTCTACCGCGCCTGAGCCCTGCGTCAAGACAGAGTCAAGAAAACCGGAGGCGGCGGAGGGTGCAAGTGGATGGCACGGTTGAGCCCGCACCTTGGGGCTCTAATCCGCACTCCCCCCTCCCCCGGTCCACACAGCAAATAACTAGGCGTGGCCGAAGTCGCACCTAGGCATGCAACCACATCCGGCTCGGATCCCACGGAGTGTGAATGTCATAAAGGAAGAAGCCATTGCAACCTGACTGTTGGACCGCCAGTCGGCCGCTCCACACAAACACACAACACCGGGCCGACTGCGAGCTCCAAATTAGCCCGTCAGTTGGCAACCTTCCAAGCCACGGCTTTTAGCGCACCGTGATAGCTTCAAGCGCGTCAGATTGTTTCTAGTGAGGAAAATGCGCTGAGTCGTCGACCTCACTCTTCCTTCCCATTCCCATGCCCTAGCCACTGTCCGAGCCGGTCAGCTGACTGGAGCGGGAAATGGGCGCGGTGGCTGACATATCTAGTGACCTTGTCTGGCGCGTCACATGCACGACCTGACCTCTCAAACATAAGCACCAGGATTTAACACAACGGGGGTTGAGCGGCGTACCTCTCATATGTGTGAGGGTGTCATAGTTCACGTTAAGAAGGGGCCGTTTCAGACTGGTTCTAGGCCCACCAGTCCGCCACTCTAAACAGACACACACACAACTGGGCAGACTGCTTGGGTTAAGTTTGGGCGCCAGTCAGCAGCCTTAGAAGCCACGGCGGTTTACGCACCGTAATAGTCTCAGACCCGGATCACACATGCAGCAGAGGAGCCGTATGGAGACGGAGCCGAGACGCACACATCCCGCTTGTGAAGGAAGTGGCAGTTGGATGCTTGTGGTGGATGAGATGTTGTGTGATGCAGGTGTTGGTGGAGGGAGATGCAATGGTATGTCGTAGCCGGCGGTTGACTATCGCAGGTTTTCGTGAATTCACATATTGCCTAATAGGCCCATTCGGTGGGTGAATGTGTGGGTGCAGTGAGGGCAGTTGAGGCGGATGCGTCAGGTTTATGTTGGTGCACCAAGCAAGTGACCGGCCAGACCGATGTGTGAGGTGAAAGTGCGATTGTAATGAGGACAAGCATAAACCGGTTACACATCGCTGGTGTCGGTGGTGGTGAGGTTGATGTTTGTTGGTGTGTTAGGATGGAGTGCAGTGGCGATGGGGACAGGAGGCGTCACAGCGGATGTTGAGGCGACGGAGGATGGCAGTGGGAGTTCAGGAATGCGGTCCGTGTTGACTGTCGGCGTGAGGGGCGAGGTAGAGGTGGACGGGGGGGGGCATCCGGTGGTGTCGGTCGGGTGATGAAGTTGGTAGGAAGGTGTCCAATAAGTCCGACTGGTGCCGGGAACGTCCGTTGACATCGTTGGCCGTTTGAGGGCGGTCAAGAATTGGCGTTGAGAGGTGGGCGCAGTTGAGATTTGCGAACCTCACGTTTATCCTTGGCGGCGGTGATGTGGTTGGCTTCGTAGATCGTTGCGCCTGTTTTCACTGTTCTCCGCCAGGTCGGTCGGTCACGAACGAGGTCTTCCCGGCTAGCCAGGTCGATTGACAGACGCCTCAGGGAAGTCTTCAGGGTATCCTTGTGGCGCCGGATTTGACCTCCATATCGGGTGAAACCTGTGGCGACATCTCCATAGAAGAGTCATTTGGGTAGCTTCTCGTGGTCTATGCGCACGAGGTGGCTGCTCCAGCGCAGTTGCAGTTGTTTTAGCATGGTGTAGATGCTGAGGATTCTCGTCCGTTCCGGTACGTCCGTTTCCGGGATTCGGTCCTGCCACCTCAGCTTAAAAATCCGTCGGAAACAGCTGAAATGGAAGTGGTTGAGACTACGTGACTGCTTTTTGTACACCGTCCAGGTCTCAACTCCGTAAACCAACGTCAGCAGGATGACTGCCTTGTACATCTTCAGTCTGGTGTTGCGGCTTAGGCCGTGTCGATACCAAACTGTGTTTTGCAAACGGCAGAAGGCTTGGCTGCCTTTGGAAACCCGGCGGGCCACTTCATCGTCGATCTTGGTGTTGCGAGAGAGGGTGCCGCCAGGTAGGTGAAGTTGTCCACTACTTGCAGTTGGGCGCCCTTCACGTTGATTTGGGGCGCGACGTAGGCAGCGTCGGGTGGCGGTTGATGCATAACCACCGTCTTCTCCGTGGTAATGACCAGGCCGAGGTTATCGCAGGCGACGACGAAGAGATCCATGCTCTTTTGCATGTCCCCTACGGAGATGGCGTTGAGAGCGCAGTCGTCGACGAAGAGAAGTTAATACATGGAAGTTGCGAATATACGCGACTGGAAATTCATTCGCCGCTGATTGAAGAGTTCGCCGTCTGTCCTGTAGGCGACGCGGATCCCGAGGCGTTCGTCACGTTAGGCGTCCAATAGCATGGCAGAGAACATTAGACTGAAGGGGGTAGGCGCGAATGCTTCTGGGACGACTCGACTACCCGGGGCGCGCGCCGTCATGCCATAGTGGAGCTGACGCACTAGCTGAGTGAATCATTCGGGACAGCCGAATTTCTGCATGCTTTTCCACAGTCCTTCGCGATTCACCGTGTCTAAGGCTTTCGTCAGACCCCCGAAGATAGAGTAGAGGTGGATCCACATCTCCGGACATTTCTCCTCAAGTTAGCGGGTGGCGAAGATCAGGTCGGTGGTTCCGCGATGCCGGTGGGAGCCGCACTGGCTTTCCGGCAGGAGACTCCGTTCCAGACGATTGAGAAGGATGCAAGAGAAGATCCTTCCAAGGATGTTCATCAGGGAGATGCTTCGGTGGTTGACACAGATTTGGCGGTTCCCTTCCCGCTTTTAGAGGTGGACGATAGTGGCGTCCTTTAAATCTTAGGGGATTTTTCCTTGACGCCACATCTCCTGGAAGAGCGCCGTCAGACGATCCATGAGATGGGGGCCACCGTGCTTGTAGATCTCAGCAGGGATTGCGTCCGATCTGAGCACTTTCCAACTGGAGAGCTGTTGCATGGCCCTGATGGTTCCGTGGAGAGAGGGCGAGAGGTCGAGGTCGGCGTTGGTCTCCACTTGAGACAGACGGGCGATCGTAACGTCGGAGATGGTGGAGGGATGGTTGAGGACGCCTCTGAAGTGCTCGGCTCATCGCTGAATAATTTTAGTCTTCTCAGTTACTAGGGTGGTTCCGTCAGTGTTGAGAAGAGGAGCAGCTCCTTTGGCTGTGTGACTGTAGACAGCCTTGATCGCGGCGAAGAAGTTCTTCCATTCGTTGCGGTCCGCGTATCCTTGAATCTTCTCGGCTTTGCGAGCCGTCCAGGCCTCCTGCATCTCTCGCAGCCGCTGTTACACAGAGCGGCGACTACAGCAGAAGGCTGCTCTGTTGTCCTTGGTGGGGCGGGTGACGTAGGCTTTGTGCGAACGCTTCTTCTTGGCGAGTAAGTGGCTGATGGCGGCGTCATTATCATGGAACCAGTTCTGATGTTGGCGACGTGCGCGACCGAGGACAGTCAGGGCGATCGACTGGACTGTTTTCCTTAGTTCGCTCCATCGGTTCTCCACGGAGGCGTTCTCGTCGGCGACGGCGACTGGAAGATTGGTTGGCCGTCGAACTAGTTCACTGCTGAAGTGGTGATGGTGAGCAGGCAAAGACAACAAAGTAATATTCAACTTAAATGTAGGGCGCTTACCTTGAGGTCTACTGCGAGGCTGTAGGCGAATCCTCATCTTGGAGATGAATCGCCTTTCTCACCAGCACCTCCCGCTAATCTCGCCTTCCGACGAGGACGTAGTCCAGCAGGTGCCAGCGTCGCGACCGAGGGTGCATCCAGGTAGTATTCTCTCGCATCGGGAGGCAGAAGTATGTGTTGATCAGGATGAGCCGGTGTTCTGCGCAGGTTCGTAGGAGAACCAGGTCATTGTCGTTGGAGCCGTCGAGACCACGAGACCCAGTACTCCTCTTCAGTCAACATTGATTTGTGCCGACGCCGGCGTTGAATTTACTAAGCGCAATCAACTTATCCGCCTTCGGCACAGTCGCCAGCAGGGCGTGCAGATCCACGTAGAATTTGTTTTTGGCAGCATCAGGGCTGGTAATCGGGGCAGCGTAGACGTTGACGATGGTGGCAACATTCCCTCCTATAAAAGGCAGACGAAGGCTCATCAGGCGATCATTGATGCTCTGCGGCAGATAGGATAGTCGTCTCCCGATGTCATTCCGAATGGCATAGGAGACGCCCTCGTCCCGTCGCCCTGCCTTGGGGCGACCGCTACTGAAGAAGGTGCAGCCGGCACCTTCTCCCGCCAGTTGGCCTTGTTCGAAGAACCAAGTCTCGCTGAGTGCAGTGATGTTCACCTTGTAATGCGCCAGTTCCCGAGCCACTAGCGCCGTCCTCCGTTCCGGTCGGTTGCTCGTCGAATTGTCTAGCAAAGAACGGACATTTCAGGCTGTCAGAGTGAGCGGACTCACTCTGCCAGTCCGTGGGGTGAGGCGATGGGCAGACGGAGAGGGAAGAGAGAGTGTGGCTTTTCTTGTCTGACTGTTACAACCGTATATTTAGCGCCTGCGCACCACGGTCAGCGTGCAGAGGACGTGATCCCCGTATTTGTTTAGGGCACCGTTTCTAGCCCCGTCCCCCTCGCGGGCTGCTCAGACGTCCCAGACGGCTGTCGAACTCCATTATGGGCCACGACTTTGATTACTAGGAGAAAGACCTGAGTTAGCCTTGGCCGCCTACGTGATCGCTCTCGCTCTCGCCGTAGAACTTTTGAGTGAGGGAGGGGGATGGGGGACGGGAAGCAGTTTCCTGTACCTCTCTAGTCGAACTGGTTGCCGAGATATGAACGATGAGCGGACGCGTCCAACAAAGCGGGGTTCAACAGAACGGTATTTAGCTTACAACAAGGACAGACACAAACAGATGAAGGCAAACAAGCAAGAACAAACAAAAGACAAAGACAACAGAGCAATATTCAGTTCACTTGGAAAGTCACTTACCCGGTGGCCTCCTGCGGGGTTGCAGACGGAGTCTCAACTTGGAGATGCCCAGACGGTGATCCATCTGGCTAGCAGTGGTGGGAGTGGAGCCGAGTTAATGTGTGTAGAGATGCACAGACGGATACCCTCACCTGGTTTAGCTCGCCGGTCGAGGCGGTAACTGGGGTGTGGCCCCTAGGCAGAGCCTAGTTTCGGGGAGCCACATGTGAGAGTTGGGTGCCAGTAAATGGACGCTAGGCGCAGTCTACACCTCCAACCAAGTGGGCTATCTACTATGACTATCATGTGAACTCACAACTGGACATCCATACACCCCAGCGGACCACCCAGGTGCATTGTTTCAGGCATGATATCGTTGTCACCAAGTCCAGAGGCCTCTCAGACGGCCATGACTGTGCTTAGTATTAACTCCAAGTCCTGCACAGACTGATTACCTGGTTATATTGTATTCAGTTTTCTTCTAATGCCAACTAGTTATGGCCCGAGGTTGCAGTTGCTAAGGCGTCCACGACTTGAGCTTCTGGGACAGGTCCGATGGAGGCTGCCAGACAGAAATTTAATTGGGCAGCATTTCAGTCCATTTTGTACAGTTACGTTTTTTTTGAATTCCATAGTTTATTTGTCCTTCAATTAAGAAGCCCGAATACGGTAACCTGAAACACCCAGTCCTCTGTCTCCACAAGATTTTTTTCTTCTCATATTTCCTCCTTAAAGTTGGGCAATTTTACTTCGCCACTGAAATTTGCTACCTCCCTACGGGACCGAAGACAACCCTGTCCTAGATATTGCTCACCCCACACCTAATTCGTTTGCGGCCCACCCTCTTGAGAAGAGATGAGAGGTAAACTCTACCCCCCTTTTCTCTCTTGTTTATCAATGCTGCTGATGAAGTATACAAGGATATCCGCATCCAATACAAAGTCTATGAGCCCTATATGACATATTCCTAATAACGTAAAGCAAGTATTTATTCTACTTGCACATAAGGCATGCGGCATGTAGTCTGGAAACCCTAAGCGCAAGTGCTACTGCAAGTCGGCCTATAAACTGGTCGGGAACTGAAAAAGCGTGCTTTGAAGCCAAATGCTAATGGTAAAGAAGAATGGTGTAGAGGAAGAAATTTCCGCAGGACAGACTTGGAAAGATCCACTCGCGGTTATATTCTCGCTTATCGAGTAGGTCTGTTCAGTGCCGCCCCTCCGCAAGCAGGGGCGCAGTGTGCGACCCCACTCAGGGAACAAAAATCAGGCCGTCGTTTAATACGACTTTTGTGAGTAGGGGTTAAACGGCGGAAAGGAGAGCGCGATAGCAGGCAAGTATTCGGATAATTGTTGCGAGGTTATACTGTGTCCTCGCCCTAAATTTTTCCCCAGCTACTTGTGAAAGGGCCCACGTACCAGGAACTCGATCTCCGAGGCTTGTTGAGGATGCTAGGACGGTTGACAGTGCAAGAGTCGAGCACTTTTCGCAGTTCTTCTAGTTTGTTTTCACAAATAGATTACATTCCACGTAGGTACATGAGCGCAGAAACGTCAATTAGGAAGAAGACGAGGACGCAATATGCCACGATGGTCTGGTTCTTGTCCTCTGAGTAGGGTCGCATACTGCGTCGTTGACTACCACGTCTTTTGATTTTTTTCATTTTTGTTTATCTTGCAGATAAGGGCCACTCAGTAAACATTTATTTTCTACTTTGTGCTCCCACCCAAGTATGATAAGTAAGACGAAAAAGATGTGAAAACACACTTTGGGAGGATGATACGAGGAAAGATTTAAGTTGTAAAACTCTGACCCAACTGTGAAAAACTCGGTGCCTCGGTGGGATTCGAACCCACGACAGCAAGGAGACGACCTAAGTACAGTCAACGCTCTAGCTACCCGAACTACGTGGCCCCAACGGACAACGCGAGTTTAATTATATACCATCTATGAAAATTGCAACATTTTGTAGTGCACAACTTTAAATATCAGACAACGTAAGACAATTATTCAATGGGAACTGTTACCGACTCCCTGAAGTCATAGGATAGTTACTCGGGTGTCTTGCAACAATATTTCGAATAGCTTTGTACCTGGGGATCAGGGTTGAAGTCTCTGCATTGCTCAGCTCTAGTAGGCCCATCCTTCTCTAATGGGACGTTTTCGTCCGTACCCCATATCGGATAACGATGATGATCAGGTGAGCTAATTGGATACCTGAAACCAGGGAAATGAATGCGAACACAGACAGCAGTATTCGCGTGTCACTGGTATGCACCGACCCACCCTAATTAAGGAACAAAGTATGGGCGATCCGTTGTGCCTGGCTCCACAGTTCACTCAGATGGTGGTATGGCAACTATCAACCGATAACTGAGTTCTACAGTGACGCTGAAATGACCGCTTTCGACCTATTTGCTGTCACCGATCGGCGACAGACCAACTTCAGGTTATCAACTCAAGATGCGAACCCGAGTTGGCTGATAATCGGGCAACACCCTTACCCGAAGCAGTCTGCGGTTGAAGAATCATGGTAAATAAGTCGACAATGGTCAGCCCGTGTCGTTGTTCTTGTCTGTAAAACCTCCCAATTGTGTTGCATTCGATATGGTACCGGATGGGCGACCAAGGGACGACGCAGCCTTTCATGTCGAGTTGATAGAGGGGTGGTTTTGCAGGTACTCTGTGGCAATAACAACCTCAAACATCGACCAAAGCACGACCGCGTAAGCGCTACTTCAACAGAAATTCTGACGCCGAAAGCGAACGGAACAAAAATAGCCGTCTTATCCCCTAAATCAGACTCAATTTCTCGTCCATGTGGGAAAAAATACTGAGGTCTTAAAAACCTGTAGTTCACAGCAAACGATGGCGATTCCTTTCCTGAAGACATGCGTGATCACTGATGAGGAAGGCAAATATGAAGCAGGCGGGCAGGATGAGCGACGCCGGTTTTCAATTGGAAAAATTAGGTAGAATACGGAAGCAAACGTACAGCCCAGGCCCTGGACTTTATCTTCAACCAGGAAGTCTATTATAAAGAAGCGCATTATACATCCGAGACTGTTAGATCCTCCGAAAGAAACATGTCTGACATTTATTCTAATGCGTCTTCCAGCGGTAAAACGCACCAGAAAAACCTGTGCATACTAAGGTTGCCTTAAACTGGTTGATCCCCGTTGAATGGCTGGTCGTCAAAATAAGAGGACCGGTTCGTTTTCGAAACGCGTGCGCTTGATCGTTCAGACTTGAGGAGCAGATGGATGAGCCACTGCAGAGCGGTTCAGGGGTAGTTACGAATTCATCGTATTGCGCTAAAAAGAGCAAATAGACGCACAGTAAAAACGTTATGGCGTTACAGGGTGTGATAAAATCCTCAGGAAATTAGAGATAAGACGCCAAAGAACTGACTCATAACGACATGGCGGTAGGGACAGGAATATAAAGCGGCAGCCCTCCCTCAAACTAGCTCATATGCTTGGCGCCGAATCAGCAGACCATAAAGTGAAAAACTCCCACAAACCCGCACATGTCGCACTCTCAGATTAAAGCACCGTCTGACCAGCTTAAAACCACTTGTTTTTGGAGAAAAACAGTGTGGTAGGCATAATGCCCCAAACTGCCCTCAATATCTGCATTTCAATCCCATCTACCTTGACAGGGCCCTCACTACAGTCACAGCCGGAGTTCAAAAAGCGGTTACTAGGCCAACGCGGTAGGGTTGCCAGAAAATAATATCGGATCAGGAGAGAAAATCGAGAGAAGAGGAGGGGGAGTAGAATATTCGGCTAGTCACGGCTGCAGACAACCGCAAGTCAAGAGGGTCAGCGGTGTAAGACAAAATAAAAAAAATCACTTCCCCCCTTTTTGCACTCAAAAGAGGCCAAAATCCAGCTTGATTGTGAGCATAGTTTATGAACTTTACAAAGTGTAAGTAATCCGAAGTTGACCCAGTGGATGTGATAAGAAAAGAGTCTCAAAGGACCATCGTCAGGAATTTCAAATTGAAAGGTACGGGGACGAGGGGAGTCCTCCACAGTCCAATTACGCCGCCAGCGCCGACACATGCAGGTATCCATTGACGCAGAATCTATTCATTCGGCGACAACGCTCGCCAGCAACTCGTCCATATCTAAAAAGAGAATAGAAGGGAATAAATGCAGCAGTTCAGGACGGCTTGCAGCGACTGCCACTTAATGAAAGCGAGGCATGGGTAGATCACAGAATACACCCGCGACTTTATCATCAAGAGTTAAGGATGCGACACCACCAATGCATGAAGAACATATGCTTCCCGGATAACCTACTGCGGCTATCCGCGCCTCGCCCAAGGAGCCAGTGATCAGTTAGACAAGTGATAAGACAGGTCTGATAAGGTGTTATCAAAGGCAGGGAGGGCTACACAGCTGTTGTCTCCCATCAATCCAACAAACTCTGGCTCTACCTACAGATACACACCCACTCTCCCGTAGTTGGTAATTAAGTAAAGGCCAGGTAGGTTGGGTGTCGGAATTCAGCTTGTGACGGCGCCTAAAGTAGAGGAGGTGCAACGTCCACAAGGCAATCAACTTGCTGGCTGTCTCAAGATGCATTTAATTAGAATTGAGACAAGACTACGAGACGAGGTCAATGCTGTTATTGGGGATGGCGAAGATTTTGCCACCCCAAAACTGCATCACGAACGGCTTCCTCGCCTCTCCAACAAACACAGGCCACATTGCCCTCCAGGTGACGAAAGCAACGCCTGACAGACACGGGGGCACGAATGCAATCAAAGGGACGATGGGGGGTTTCAAGTGTCTTTATGGGCGGCGCTTGGTGGCCTCTTGGCTGCTGCCTATTTCCTCGCGTAGTGCAACATCCTTGTCGTCTCCCTCCCTCCCCTTATGGTCAACATTCCAGACACCGGGGTGATGAATAAAGTTGGGTTTATTGCGCTGCTGCCGTCGACACTGGGAGAATAAACTGGATTCCAGAGAGAGAGCGCCTCACCGACAGGCAGGTATGTGCACATTCACGGAGGGGTGTACTAACGGCACCTGCCAATCAGGCTTCCGGAGTAACATCCCCCCTCTCCAGCTGTGA